TTTATTGCAGCTGATGAAATAATCTGATATATTACAGCACCATATACCACGATACAAAAAAAAAATCCCTTTCGATTACACAAACTGACATAAAATACCGCGATCTTTTCCCCCTTTCCGCAAATCCCACAGGTCAGCGCCACGGGACAATGTCACAGGTAACCCCCTCCCCCCATCCCCCCCTCCTCGTCAAAGGTTGTCTTTATGTGATAGTCAACAAGTGCAGACTGCTCCGGGCTACGCTACAGGCTCAAGGTGAAGGCCAGTGAGGGATTTGTACCTGTTTCCATTCATTTTTTTTTTTTTCATCTTTCTGTTTTGATTTTGTTTTTGTTTTTTAATCGTGTAAATATTTAAATCATAAACGCTGCGATACTGTGAACGAGGTAAACTGTGACACAACAGGATAGGCGCGTCGGGTATCACGGGGAGATGAGGTATGGACTTACAGATGACAGTGTAGATTTACAGGATGTGATATGAGCCTATACACTGCGGTGCCGAGCTCAGTGGTCAAGGCGTAACCATTCACGAGAACCTCTCCATTCTTACAGTATCACAAGCAACAGTATAGATCCCTTTCATTTTTCTTATCTCCGGCAAACGCACCTTCCCATATCAAAGACGAAATTCATTACATTTTCCGGAAATACCACTTCACTGTAAAAAAAAAGACGAATAAAAAAAATCTCTCTCTTAATCGATTTCGAGTCTTTGCAAGCTGTTAAAACACACGTTAATGAGGATCAAAGATGAAACCGCAGCAGCATTGTTGAAAGTGATATAGATAACTCACGCTCTCAAACAGTGTTATTCAAGGGGAGGGAAAGAACTGTGTCGTGATTCTGTTTCTGCTCATCCTGTGGGAGTCGAACATGCCACACTTAAGGACAAAGTTGAAAGAGAGAAAAGAGGAGAAGGAGAGAGAGAAAGAGAGAGAAAGAGAGAGGGAGAGAGAGAGAGAGAGAGAGAGAGAGAGAGAGAGAGAGAGAGAGAGAGAGAGAGAGAGAGAGAGAGAGAGAAAAAGAAAGAGAAAGAGAAAGCGAAAGAGAGAAAGAGAAAGAGAAGAGAAGAGTGAGAGAGACAGCAGTGATAAAAGAAGAGGTGAAGGGCCAGAGAAGGAACGGCGAAGAAGATTAAAGAGACAGGCAAAAGAAATACCAAAGAGAAGAGAAACCGTAAAAGGAAGAAATTTAAATGAATAAGAAAAAAAACTTAGTGAATTCTGAAGGCAAAAAACAGCAAACTGACCATCACCCAAAATAGACAAAATTTAAGGAAAACATGTCAACGAAAAATCTGAATTTAACGGAAAAGGGAGAAAAATAGAAAGAGTGGAGAGGGAAGGGGGGAGACGAAGAAAGAAAGAGAGAAGATAGAAAGAAGAAGATGCTGATGATGATGATAATGATGATGATGATGATGATGATGATGATGATGATGATGATGATAATGATGATGATGAAGATGAAGGAGAAGGAAAAATAAAAATAAAAAACGAAATAAAAAAAGAAAAAAAGATAGAAAGGATTACCCAAACAAAAATCACTTCCCCCCCTTTTCCCCCTCCCTCTACCCCCCCCCCCCCCGTCACACCCTGAACACTCCTCCCAACTAATCTCAAGCTTGACTTAAGACACCTCTTACTTAGACAGGTGCACGGGACAGTCCTTTCAATCTGATACGTGCACTCAACACGCCCTGTCATACCCTCCCCCTTCCCCCCTCTCTCTCTCTCTCATACCCCTAACATACCCCCGACATACCCTCAACAAACCCCCAACGTATTGCCAACATATCTCCAATATATTCTTATTATATCTCCATTATACCCCCAACATACCCCTCCATATCACTCTATTCCCCTCCTCTCTCATTTGCATATCTCCAACCCCTCTCTCTCTCTTCCCTTCCTTCTCTCCCTCCCCCCCACACCAATACCCCCCTCCCCCTTACCCCCCCCCACCTCCACCCCCACACCTCCACTCCCATATCATCAAAGCATCCTATGCTTCTTCTTCTCCCTTTCTCCTTTCTCTCTCCCTCTCTTTCCCTCTCTTCTCCACCTCCCTTTCATCTCCCCTTTGCTCTGTCCTCCATTTTCCTTCTTCTTTCCCCACCTCCATTACTCCCCCCCCCCACGAGAGAGAGAGAGAGAGAGAGAGAGAGAGAGAGAGAGAGAGAGAGAGAGAGAGAGAGAGAGAGAGAGAGAGAGAGAGAGAGAGAGAGAGAGAGAGAGAGAGAGAGAGAGAGAGAGAGAGAGAGAGAGAGAGAGAGAGAGAGAGAGAGAGAGAGAGAGAGAGAGAGAGAGAGAGAGAGAGAGAGAGAGAGAGAGAGAGAGAGAGAGAGAGAGAGAGAGAGAGAGAGAGAGAGAGAGAGAGAGAGAGAGAGAGAGAGAGAGAGAGAGAGAGAGAGAGAGAGAGAGAGAGAGAGAGAGAGAGAGAGAGAGAGAGAGAGAGAGAGAGAGAGAGAGAGAGAGAGAGAGAGAGAGAGAGAGAGAGAGAGAGAGAGAGAGAGAGAGAGAGAGAGAGAGAGAGAGAGAGAGAGAGAGAGAGAGAGAGAGAGAGAGAGAGAGAGAGAGAGAGAGAGAGAGAGAGAGAGAGAGAGAGAGAGAGAGAGAGAGAGAGAGAGAGAGAGAGAGAGAGAGAGAGAGAGAGAGAGAGAGAGAGAGAGAGAGAGAGAGAGAGAGAGAGAGAGAGAGAGAGAGAGAGAGAGAGAGAGAGAGAGAGAGAGAGAGAGAGAGAGAGAGAGAGAGAGAGAGAGAGAGAGAGAGAGAGAGAGAGAGAGAGAGAGAGAGAGAGAGAGAGAGAGAGAGAGAGAGAGAGAGAGAGAGAGAGAGAGAGAGAGAGAGAGAGAGAGAGAGAGAGAGAGAGAGAGAGAGAGAGAGAGAGAGAGAGAGAGAGAGAGAGAGAGAGAGAGAGAGAGAGAGAGAGAGAGAGAGAGAGAGAGAGAGAGAGAGAGAGAGAGAGAGAGAGAGAGAGAGAGAGAGAGAGAGAGAGAGAGAGAGAGAGAGAGAGAGAGAGAGAGAGAGAGAGAGAGAGAGAGAGAGAGAGAGAGAGAGAGAGAGAGAGAGAGAGAGAGAGAGAGAGAGAGAGAGAGAGAGAGAGAGAGAGAGAGAGAGAGAGAGAGAGAGAGAGAGAGAGAGAGAGAGAGAGAGAGAGAGAGAGAGAGAGAGAGAGAGAGAGAGAGAGAGAGAGAGAGAGAGAGAGAGAGAGAGAGAGAGAGAGAGAGAGAGAGAGAGAGAGAGAGAGAGAGAGAGAGAGAGAGAGAGAGAGAGAGAGAGAGAGAGAGAGAGAGAGAGAGAGAGAGAGAGAGAGAGAGAGAGAGAGAGAGAGAGAGAGAGAGAGAGAGAGAGAGAGAGAGAGAGAGAGAGAGAGAGAGAGAGAGAGAGAGAGAGAGAGAGAGAGAGAGAGAGAGAGAGAGAGAGAGAGAGAGAGAGAGAGAGAGAGAGAGAGAGAGAGAGAGAGAGAGAGAGAGAGAGAGAGAGAGAGAGAGAGAGAGAGAGAGAGAGAGAGAGAGAGAGAGAGAGAGAGAGAGAGAGAGAGAGAGAGAGAGAGAGAGAGAGAGAGAGAGAGAGAGAGAGAGAGAGAGAGAGAGAGAGAGAGAGAGAGAGAGAGAGAGAGAGAGAGAGAGAGAGAGAGATTTCCTCTCCCCTCCCCCCTCCCCCCCTTCTACACCTGCCTTGCCACACGTCAGGAGGTCCAAGGAGCGTTCGGGGGGGAGGGGGGGTGGGGGTGGGGGGTCAAGAGTCTTCAACACAGAGTCACTTTTTGTTGTTGTTTTTGTTTTTTGTTAATGTGTGTTATGGTTATTGTTGTTTGTTTTATCTTATTTTTTTCTCTCGTTCTCTTTCTCTGTCTCTTTTTTTCTCTCTTTCTCTTTTCTATATTTTTCTCTCTTTTTGTCTTTCTGTCTTTCTTTCTCTCTCTCTCTCTCTCTCTCTCTCTCTCTCTCTCTCTCTCTCTCTCTCTCTCTCTCTCTCCCTCTATTTCTCTCTCTCTCTCTCTCTCTCTCTCTCTATCTATCTATCTATCTCTCTCTCTGTCTTTCTCTTTCTCTCTTGCTCTTATTCTCTCCTTTTCTTCTTCTTCTTCTTTCTTCTTCCCCCCCCTTTTACTCTTCATATTCTTATTCCATTAGTTTCTTCTAGAAGCTTACGGCCTCCGATAAGCAACATCCGGGTCTTTTAACTTTGACATTAAAAAGATAAAAAAAAAATGATTCAATGTATCGTGACTTTCCTTAAAAGATAATAATGGTAAGCAATAATAATAAATAAAATAAATAACACGAAGAAAAAACAGACTTTCCAAATGAAAAGAATGAATAATTAAATACAACGCGACGAACGATCAACTTGCAATTAATGAAGAAAAAAGCCTCACTTTCCATACATTCAAATGCGCTCAATGTTTCCTTTACCTGTCTGGCCCCTACCCTCCCCCCTCCCCCTCCCTCCCCCCCCAATCCACCTTGTACCCCACTCCACCCCCTTTACTCCATGCCCCCTACCCCCCTACCCACTACCCCCTCCCCCGCCCCCCTTCCCACGCATCAGTGGATTCGACCTCAACGAATGCAATGTGAATTCATACAAGGGGAGTGCTTGCAGGAATCGAGAAATAGGGAAGGAGAGGAAGAGAGAGAGAGGAGGAGAGAGGGAGAGAGAGGAAGAGAGGCAAGGAGTGGGAGGGAAGGATGGAAAGAAAGGGAGAGGGAGGGATGGGGAGGGGGAGGAGAGGGAGAGAGAGAGAAGAGAGAAAGAACGAGATAGAGAGGGAGGGAGAGTATAAGAGAGAGAGAGATGGAGAGACGAAGAGAGAGAGACAGAGACGAAGAGGGAGAGAGGCAGAGAAGTGCGTTGTCTCCCCCGCGAGGCTCCGTGTTGGCACCCAGCCTATCTGCTTGTTTGCGCCCGGAATGCACCGCGAGTGCGCCTGCCTTACTCCAGGTCCTGCATGCGGCTCGCACTCGCTCTCGGCCCGCTTGGGTTTACTCACCGTTGATGGCGGATGAGGTTTAGTTGTGTAATCCAGTTTGAATCGCGGTCCACGCACTCGCTCAAGGAAAACAGCCGAACTCGCAATCAGAAGAAGGAACGAAACCTCAGCTAACACGAGCTTCGAATGAGTTAAACCGACACAGAAGAGCGGGTCACGAGTCCCCCCGAAC